CAAATCTTGTTGTCATGCTTGCGAAACTAGTGCGCACGGATGTTGAATACGCTCCTGATAGTTTACATAATCTGGTTTGGAATCGAATGCATTCCACGTGTCTGCACGTGATATATTTTCTGTTAAAACGGCCTAGAGGGAGATCATGCACTCTCTCTCTTCGTGTTGCACTTTATCCTCATCAAGAGACTCAAGCAAGATGAACCAGGTAAGATGTCCACTTGTAGATAGCAACCTACAAGGCTTGCTCCCGTATCGGGCAGCCCTTTTGCAACTGATGAAACGCATATGGATGTCACGATTGTGTCTTAGACTCATCGAGTCGTTGCTGACACAACATATGTCTGCCTTCCTCCTGATCCGCAAAATCATATCCTGATTATAGAACTGGTGGTCGATTCGTCTACATGTACTAATCATTCTGGTTCTATAGTTTCTCGCAGGCACGATGACGATTGACCAAATACTAGTGTGCATGGCGACCTAGATTGCCACCAAATTTTGTGCAGCTTACGTCCCTTGCATGCTATAGTAGTGGTCTCGGCTTGCGAGCTCTGGGGTAAGTAAACTATTGAGGCCTGTGTGCAGGGATGACGAGTAAAAGGGTACCGCAAAAGTGAGCCTGGGACCCGCCTCGTGCGGATGAACCCACCTGGGACCTTTTGCTTTTATGGTAGAACATTCGCCTTTGGGCGCGTCTGAGCACACAGTGGGTGTAAAAATGTAGAATTTAAAAGTTATTGACAATAAATAGACTTGTGCCGTCTTTGCTGTATGTCTATCCATTGGTATGACGTAAAGGGAATTTGGTTTCAAAATGATTTCACGATGGCGTATTACCATAGTGCCTGCGCCAAGATGTTTTCTTCTTTTGCAAAAGTTCCGCCCGCAGCGGCTATTCCATCACGTATATTAATGCAAATTATCTATTGGCATCAGTGCCCGCCCCCCCAGTGTCAGCCCTCCCATAATTTGATAATTTAATCGTATCATATCTACACAATCACTGGTCATAATTTGAAGTGTGAGGCAGTCGATTCGATGAGTTCTTCCTCAGGTCGCTCCTCACTGCGCATGTCGCCCGGATGTACGTCCGATGGATTGTCTGCTGACTTTCGTAGCTGGATTATCAATGGCGTATGCACTGAGAGGAGTCTTAGATGTGCTTTTCGCTGTTGATGGGTAATGTTACACGGATGAGCATCACATTGACAACAAAAGATTATCACTGGCATTGTCACCTACCCGACGTCTGTTGAGCGCCCAGTCCACTGAGCGATCTGTGTCTCGCAATAATCTCAAAAGCTTCATTGCTCCTCTATGAGATACGGCGTATGCATGGGTGCAGAATGATTCTCTGGCTTCACGAATGCTGTGAACCACCTGACCACCGTTTCTGGTGGTGTACATGGATCTGTATAGAACGGGACCTGCCTTGTTGAAGCAGTGTCCTTCATAATAAAGAGCCGTCAGCAGAGCAATAGCATAACGAGAAGCAGTGTGCCAATTACCCAAATAGACAATGTCCCACCCGTCCAGCCCCGTCGTTGACTCCAAGCCTTTTTGCAACTGTGCCCATATTTCCTCAATCTCCCACTCAATATCCACGTCATCCTCCATTACTAACGCACTCGACAGATTACTTGCGACGACATCGCTCCAAATCTTCATATGACTGCCCCAACACGCCAGCTCAGGTTCTCTTAGATAACCGCCAACATTCAACCACCCCCTTTCGTGAAGTAAATGTCGGTATGGCAGGAGCTCAGATGAGGCGGGGGTTAACGCTGGAACAATGTGCACGTCGAGGTTGAGAGAGCGCACCAGTGTCTCCATATACGCCCGTCGGTCAGTGCGTGTAACCAGGTTGAGAACATATATACGTGAAAATCCCAGCGTCGATGTCCCAGGTATATGAACGGTTTCGGTAGAAGTGAAAGGAGCGAAAGGGAGGTCGAGGCGGACTTGAATCTCGGAAGCTTCCTTCCAGGTGGCATGAAAGTTGAGAACGTGCGTGAATCTCACGAGCAGCGTGCAAAACACGAATAAAAAAAGGAAAAGTGGTGGTCGTTGTAAAAGAAAAATACACGTACGCTCTCGCAAGAAGGAACGTCGAAATGGTTTTCGAGGTACTACAGACACCATCCTTCATTCCATCTGCCGATGGACCGAACGTAAAGCGCGCGATCCTACCAGGATCGGGGAGCGTGCAGGATTATGAAGAGCGTTGTTGGCTCGAATCCTGACGTTTGGAGACAGAGCCAAATTCTTCCTAAAATGGGTAAATGATTAAGCCTCGTCACGTGTGAACTCCTCGGTGTTCCGACGACAAGTGTTTGTTGTTGAGCTTCTTTGTTTCTAGCCGCTTTTTATAACAGCCTCATCTTACCTGCAATCGGCAGACAGTTACTCTCCAACCATGGGAATATTCAGCTTTGAGGACCAATTACTTCAGTATGGGCAATGTAAGTAAGGGCCGATGCTTGTCTCAAAGTCGAGCGTACTCAAAACGGTCTTCACTTTTATCAGACCACAACAACAAGTTGTAAGTATAACTTTCCCAAAGCCGAAGGAGTTTCGTCTCCCCGACTTCCGGCTGGATGCTCTGACGACGTTTAACGTTCCCGACTCTATTTCTTCAAGAAACCAACTTATACATGTTGCCTTTGTTCCCACTATATTGTGGACCACGATGGTTTGGGTTCGTAACCGCATACATTTTGCCCTCACGTTGTTAGAGTTTTAATTTCTTCATGCGTTGGAACGACAGCTCACTCAAACGGGTGAAGTCGCCGACTGGTCCTTGTCTTACATCTGGCCTCTAAATGGCGCCTTTATTGGCATCGCGATCTACAGTCTTTACTACATTGTCCTGGACCCTCTTGCCGGGGTGGGTTGGGATTACTAACTCTCTTGGCTTTCATTAGTTGATTAGTTGATGATATAAGACTAATGTCATCTCGTCCCAGACCCTATACGCTCCCATCCTTTTTGGACTCTGCGCCTATGCCAATGTCTGGGCTGGCAAGGATGAGATCGCTGGGGTAAGAGGGCTTTTTGATGCTGTGGCTTATTGCCGATTAAAAGCTGACGTATAATGTGTAGGTGTCTCCTCAAATGGCGGCAACGATGATCCACGTTGTCAGCTGGATCATGCAGTTTAGTGAGTGAAAAACTGACTCATGTGGTGATTTCTTTCTTTGGAGACTGATCAATTGCTATCGGCTATTAGTGGGCCATGGTTTCGCCGAAGGTCGCGCGCCCGCGCTATTGGATAATCTCCTTCAAGGTGACTAATTGCCGGCATCCATTGCAATGTACTGTATTACACAAGCTCATGTTCTGGTTTTTAGCTATCGTCCTTGCCCCCTTCTTTGTATGGGTGGAGGTTTTGTTCCACTTGGGTTACCGTCCTGACTTGCGCAAGCGTCTCCAAAACAAAATCGACACTGCAATTCTTGAATGGAAGAAGAGTAAGAGCAAGAAGGTCCGTTAAGAGGAGTAGAGTAAGATTTCACTTTGTTTAGGTGGAGGTATAGTTAGTCGTATGGTTATCAACGTTTGTGGGGTATTTTTGTGCCTTTATTAGTTCTGTGGAAAAATCTTTGCAGTATGTTGGCTGGTATCCAATATAGGTGATGTTTGATGTTGTAGTTGAAGGATTAGTAGGATAGGTTCTCGATTACGTGTCATGGTCGGATGAGTCATCCACGCTTCGTTCTTGCTGCAAGGTCAGAGTAACTCTGGAACAATTACTGAAAGTCAAATTTCATTGCACATTCTTCACAATAATGACGGCACCAACTCACGCAGAACTCGTCGCAAAAGCCCAACGCCTTGTCCGGGAAAAAGATGCCCTGGAAGCCCACATCCGTGAACTCGAGCAAGTCCTTCAATCCGTCTGTAAACCAGAATGAATTGTTTGCAGCACCATAGAGGCTCACAATATATTTAACCAACCAGCAAGGTGTTGGCATGGATGACCCACTCACAGATGCAGCAGGATTTCCCCGAGCCGATATCGACGTTTACCAAATACGACATGCGCGTGTAGAGATCATTCGAAAGAAGAACGACCTGAAGGCTATCATGAAAGATATCGAACAAGCTCTGCACGATGTACATGCTCAGGCAAAGTTGGAACCCACTGTGACTGCCGCAGAGACGCGCGAGAGAACGACGATAAACGGTATCTACCGGTTTTTGAGATGGTCGTAAATCTTAACGAAAAGCTAACTGGATGGCTTCCAGATGACAATTTGAAACCCTTTGCGCTGGTACCTTGTTTATACATTTTTGAACATTGCGGCTGTATCTAACTGTTTTGGTGAATTAGGTTAATGGTGTCGCACCAGATAGTCCGGCAGATGAAGCTGGGATGAAACGGAATGATCTGATTCTCCGGTATGATAGCGACATGTAATCAGCGCTAATTACACTGAGTGAATAATACCTTTCTATACAAAGATTTGGCACTGTCGATGCAACACATCGGGAAGGGCTCAAGAGGCTCTCCGATCTCGTGGCAGGGAGTGAAAACGTATGTCACCGTCAGGCTGGCTACCGTGTTCAGACGGCTAATCAGCACCCTTGGGCTTCCAGAAACCGATTGATATACTAGTTCGGCGGGACGGAACTGTCACAGCACTAACAGTTACCCCCCACAAATGGAGTGGAAGAGGACTGCTTGGGTAAGCGACAGAGGGATATCATGAAGCTTTCCAATAATGTTCATTGTTTCCTTTCCTGCAGGTGCCATCTGGTACCAAGTTGAATGTCTAGATCTGTTGATTTCTACGCAATTCCTGTGATGAAATGATAATTCTAACTACGTTGCATTTGCTCGACTACCCAATGGAAAAATTCTAGTCTAGGGTAATTGGTTGCTCTGATGCGGGGCAAATTCATGCCGCCATACGATTTTCGACAATTTCATCGCATTGCAGCAATTTCATCGCATTGCAGCAATTTCATCGCAATGCAGATTTTCTGACATTCGATTTGCGGAAATGCACATCCTATATTATCCGTAGTAATCGAGGAACCATAGAATAGCACTGGCAATCACTAAGAATAACAAGACCCAAATTCTTGCATCGCCAAAGTGCTTTTGTGCGCTAATGAGCTGGAGATTCGCATTCTTCACACTTTCGGTACTCCGCCAGGCATCATCATACAAAAATCCGATGGTCTCTGATTGGGATTGGAGTTCGTGACTAAGTCGTGAATGCAGACTAGAGATCACATTGAGGGATTGGGTTGTTTCTCTGGCGGGACAACAATGCGAGCGTGTCAGGATCGGCTCAACTTGCGTTGTTCAGCCCAACAGCATGTAACTTACCGCACTTGGTCAATACTACTTTCCAGCTCCTCCAGTAATGCCGCATTCTCGGATTCCAGAAGCTGTCGTTCCTGGGGTTCCAGTTGGGACGCCACATCATTGTCCTCCACCCGCTCCTGCAATGCAAGGGCCCTTGAATCCCTTTGATCAAGAGACTCTGCCGAGCTTGATTTAGAACGCGGCAGTGGGGTGGGATTTCCTCCCGTTAATGAACTGGTGAGTTTCGATGTCAACTGGGCAAGAGAAAGATCATGAGCGTCTTCCTGTTCGGCGGTAGCAGGCGATAGAGGTGTCGGCCGAGTTTTTGTAGCATTCACCCCTTTATAGAAATATCTTTTGCATGTAAGGTCGATTAGCCACTAGATCCGTTCCTTACATTTCATCCATAACACCTACGTGTCCTCCCGACTAAGTCTTCGCTGCATCAAACGTTCTTGCATATCCTTCTGGATATTAGAAACGTCCATCAATCGTTTCCGGAGCAACCATATGACTGAGTTTCGGTGTTCACGAAGCATCCTCTGGTGCAAATCTTCATCAGTACTCAGAAATGAAAGTAGAAAGGCCGGCTTTGGTGGGGCATTCGACAGATTTTCTGAGATGACACTTCAACATCAGACCCTGCATCGTCTCAAAGTGAAAAAGAAAGCACTCTACCTCCAAGCTGAGACAAAACTGCCACCCGCTTTAGAAATGTCTCTACGAGGATCTGTGTCTGCATATCTAGCTCCACACGCTGCTTATCCGTCATATTTTTGAGTTGCGGGAGCATCTTCAGGAGGGGCAGAGTATCTTTTTGGCGTGCGTAATGCTCATCTGTCGCCAGTTCGCCTTCTGAAAGTGGTTTCGCGGACGTCACATGCCGGCCAGTGTCCAGATAGTACTTTCGGGCTCGCAGGAGAAAGTACCGGAGTTGATTGACATGCTCCAGCTGAAGACGTTCTCATTAGTGACTGCTTTTCTTCACAGTCCTTTCCAACACTGTTGAAAACGCTATCCTTCATAACCCATATCTCCACCGGATCTGAATTTCTACGCCCGCATTTCCTTTGTCACTGACTGTATTTCTACAATGCTTACCAGCCGATATGCCTCTTTCAAGAAGGCATCCCCACGTTCACTGTGAGATTTTCGCCTCTTTTTTCGCAGAATGGAGGTAGCAGAGATATTGGCATTATTAGGTGCACCTTCGTGTGCCAAGGAGCGAGCAGCATGTCGGGATTTAAGGATGGCGTAGAAATCCGTTGTCAGATCGGGCATAGTAGAGATATGTGAGACGGTGACCACGTATGTTGTACGCGTCGTCTCGCACACATCTTTTTACACTATGAGCTTTGAGGTGTGCTGGCACAGGAATATAATGAAAGTATGGGACATTTTACTTTTATTTGTCTTGAACAAAAGGATAATTCCCTTTCTTCCCCGCCCTCCCTCAACCCGGCGGGTATCATTGGGGGCCCTTTCGGGCGCGCAGCTGCTCCGTCCACACGCAGATTCTGTCAGTCGGGTACGTCGCTCATCAAAGCCCTCCCTCAGCACAAGCTTCACTGGGACCCACACGAAGGGGCGTCACTTGCTCCTACCGCCGCAAGCAATCAGTCTCTGACGACCTGTTCCGGGATTCGAACCCGCTCTGTTAAGGTGCACGTCGGCGCCTTAACCCCTGGGCTACCTTGCCCAGGTAAAGAGTTATGAACTCGTGTGTATTTTAAGGGGGACGTACGCTTCCCCCTGCCCATCGTAGCGTTCAACGCGACGAGGAACTGACAGGACGCGAAGGACGCGCAGCATGTAGGCACGTGAGGATCACGCGTTCGAATGCTACGAGATCAGTTGCAAGCAGCAGAGATCTCTGAACCCAACATGCCGACACTGGACCGCCTCATCCTGGACTTTGACGAAACTATTACTACCAGTGATACTACACCTGTAATAGCCTCCACCGCCAAACGGCCCACCACATGCCCGGCCTGGTCCTCTTTCCTAGACGCTTACCTGGAGAACTACAAAAACCACACCCCGCCAGAGCCGACCCACGATCCACCAACCACTGAAGACTTGCTTGCTTATCTCGACTCTTACAAGTCCGTCGAGAGAGCATCAATATCTAGAGTCATAGAAGCAGGCGCTCTCCGCGGGACAACGCGAGCAAGTCTTTTTGCGGCGGGGGCAAGTGTTCCTACACAAAAAGGATGGGCCGCGTTCGCAAATTGTTGGTTGGAGAACCGATCGAATGACGTCGCTCTCTACCTATCCTCAGTCAATTGGTCAATGGATATTATTCGTGGTACTTTGAATGCTGCTAATATATGTATTCCTGACTCCAATATTCTCGCCAACGATCTGGAGTATGACAGTCATGGCATATCCACCGGTGGACTTTCTGTACGCTTCATGACAGGATCTGATAAGTTGCGAGGTTTGCAAGAACGCTTAGAAACTCTAGATGGTTGTATATATATTGGAGACAGGTAAGCAGAACATGCCAAGCGTATCGTAGAACCACATCGTTGCTTTTCAAGACGTTTGATTTCTCCTTCGCACATGTAAACCATCTTTTTTCAGCGTTTCGGACATTCCCTGCATGCGTAAGACTCTTTTGGTAAACCATCAAATCTCTTAATCGTTTATTAAGCTTCATGAGCAGATGCCGCTTCTGTTGGAATACTCATTCGTCCGAGTGATTCCGTGTCAATGCTGTGTGAAAAGTATGGTATTCCAACCCGGCCCCTTCCCAGCCAACTAGACGAATGCCAAGCAGGCGTAATATATATTGCCAATAACGGTTGGGCGCAAATACACGCATTGGCATGCCCGAATGATAAAACCCTTTAGAATGGATGCTAAAGAACATGCACATGGTTATGGCAAGGCCATCTATCTCTTTCTGCCGCTCCCAGACGCTTTCCCCTTTCCTTTAGCCGATGAAGTGCGGGCAACTTTCTGCTTTATCAATTTGTCACCGGCAATGTCATCCTCATCATCAACTTCATCGTCGTCCGCTGCATCCACTTCGTCAACCTCCACTACGTCCTCCAAGTCTGGTACTGGCCCTGGGGCCGGCTTTCTGGCCTTCGAGACTGTGGTAATCAAGAGGGGGGTGGGATGCGTTGTCTTGTTATACCTAATGCGAAAGGTCAGTAAGCTCGGGCACAGCGCAACTTGCAAGTTAAAATCCTATCAACATACGTTCGTGTGAATGAGGATTTTACAGACGCAGGAATTTTGTTGGACATTTTAGAAGCAGCGTTGGGACCTACGCCTAGCTCCATCACTGTGTCCCAGTCTTCCCGTGTCAAATAATATTCATCCATAGTTTTGATCACCGCGTCAATCGCATCCTGCATACAAGGAGCTCGTAAGAGTCCGCAACCACCAGTGATAGGATACAGTTGCACCTACCGCTCCATCGTTTATAAGGGGCTTGGCCAAGCTAGGAGCAAGTGTCGGCATGTAGTTCAACCGCACCTCGCTCTTATTGCCAGATATATGCAGACGCATGTGAGTTTGGATCTCCCGCAGCAATCGAATGTTCTTTGAGTACTTTGAGTTCTGACCAAGCCATCTGGTAGAATATAATACTTCAGAGCCCTGTAGCGAAAATGTGACGCTGTGCAACGTTTTCGTACCCGGCAAATTGAACTTGTCCACCTAAAGAACCATGCGTGAAGAAACACGGACGAACAGTAGACATCACGGCATGGACTGGCATTAGACTCCAGTTTTGAGTGCTGCGTGATAATGACGAATTTAGACATGGCAGATGGCTACATAGTGCAATACCCTACCTGCGCTGTACATTATCCACTAGATCCCCCAAGGAAATGGAATCGGACGCTTGTGCTATGCAAGACAGCGTCTCAAAATCGACAAGTTTGTTATTGTTGCCATGCAAATGTCGCGCGATCGCTGGGCTCGTTTTGGCATAGTTTTCCTGCCACAGGATTACATGATCGGCATTTGACAGGATAGTCACGCACTTTCTTACCTGCACCATTAACGGTATCAGACTAAAATCTTGGAAATATAGTTCAATTCTGTCCGAGATAGTACTCGACGTCGTGACCGAGGCACTGAATAGCTTAGCAGTGACATCAAATGGTGTCATTGCCGAGTTCTTCTCCCAACCCTTAGCCCTATCGCCAAATATCAAAGTCAGTTACAGCGCTTCGACCTATTCTTGCACGGGGTATTACATTTGCTTCGATTGATCGTAGGTCATGATATTGTTCGACAATCGATAAGTTGACAGTATGTTCAAGATTTGGCGGATATCGGCAGATGTCATTGCAACCAATTCTGCAATCACATTTGGTTTCAATATCAACCCTTCGCTGTCATCGGCGATACCTTATTAGTTCGATGCTCCGAAATGTATAACAGGAGATTCTACGAACCTCTCGGCGATGTCACGTATACGCGCTTCCACTTGAGCTGCCGTGGGTCTTTGATGGACCATATCAGTGTATCAAGTCCAAACTTGGTAATACATATCAAGTCACATACCTTCTAAACCGCAGATCGAAACAATAGTTTGCTAGTGACTTGATCTTCGGCGACTGTCGATCGTTACAAATACAAATAATTGGAACCTGCAATATATGGCCATCAATACCAAGAAAATTGCTTCCAATACCGGATGATAAAAGACTGACTACACGGTTACCTTTGTCTTTTTGATGAGTTGGATCAGTTCCGCTGTGCCGCCACGGTCACCTCCAGACATACCATCCACCTCATCCATTACAAGAACTTGTCGCTTTCCCGTCCGCAACCCTCCAGTCTACGAATATAAATGAATAAATCGTGCAAAGACGTGAAGCTGTAGGATATCTAACCTTCTTGCCATTACTGTTGGTCGATCCATTTTCGGAAGAAGAGAAAAACTCCGTGACTGCATGACTTCCAGTGCATTCTCTGAATACAGTCTGAGAAAAGTATCAGATCTAGTGCGCAATGCAATGGGCAATTAACACTTACATCGAGAGCCTTCTTGCTCCGTGTGTCACTTGCATTAAACTCCAACACATCGTACCCCTCTATGCGCGACACCAGATGAGCTGACGTTGTCTTTCCAAGCCCAGGAGGACCCGATAGAAGTACTGCTCGAAAGCATGATGCTTCATCGCCCCCTTTCCTCTTAAAGTCATTCGCCCGATAGCTGTCCCTGTTAATTTCAACAGTTGAATATCACACAATAGGTTACTTGTTCCGACCAAATGCCCGCTAGATTACCAGTTCTTCAGCCACGAGGCCAATTTCTGAATCAGTGTTGTGTTCCCAATCACTTGCTTATAATTTTCGGGCTTGTATTTGTCCGTCCAAAGTTCGGCAGAAGCACTATTTTCATGGAAGCACGATGAGACCACAGTCGATGCCAATCGGATGGGAATCTGGATAGCTTACCTTTTGCGCGGAGTGACCCTGGCAACAGCTTGCGGCCTATCTGTAATGTCGTTTGCCGCTTTCCCTTTACCTTTTCCTTTGGATTTGGGAGTGGTCACCGCCGCCGACGTCTTTCCGGGAAGTGTTCTAATCAGCTCAAACAATCCATCTTCATCCAAAGTCTGTAGTTTAAGCTCCTTTGCTTTCTTTAGCTTGGATTCTCCCGGCTCCTCTCCGACAACGACATAGGACGTCTTCGAACTTGGTGCTCCGGTTACACGACCGCCATGGCGTTTGACCAAACTGGCTGCATCATCCCGCGATATGGAGGTTAGTTCTCCGGTGAACACAAAGGCCATTCCCTGCAATCATGTGATTAGAGAGGTAACTTGCGATGCATCCGGTGGGGCACCAACCAATAAGCAGTTCTCTGCCCCTTCCGGTACTTCTTTTGATCCAGGTGCCCTAGGCCCTGCAGTTTGCTTTTGCTTATACTGTGCATAGCTATCGAGCTGAGTTAGCCATGCGCTAATACGCTCAAAGCATCGGTTATTCACATAAACCTACTTAAATTTCTTTTTAGCTGGCGCTTCGACGTCTCCATTCTCTATTTTCGTTTCAATTTCCTTTGCCGTTTCTGTGAATTCTTTTAATACCGTCGTTCAGTAGGTGTGCCATCTCCTTTGCATACCGGTTTTCAGGGGCGAGGGAGCTGACGGCGCTGATTTTGCTGGGGACTTCTCGGCAGTCGACCCCTCGCCATTCTGCCGGACTTCCTTATCCCAAGGCATCCTGCGCTTTCCTGGCTGAGGATCATTCTTCAGGGAGTTGTCAGCACCCGCCCTCTTCTTCCGGGCCGGACCCGCATGATCTTCGTCGACCTCGGTATCCTCTTCATCATTATCCGATGGTCTTCTCTTTGCCGGTGGCTTTGTAGGTGTCCGCTTTCTATTCTTTTGATCATTCTTTGCTTGGTCGCTGCTTTGAGTTTGCTTCACTTCCACCAACTCTTCATGTTCCTGTAATTCACCAGAAGTCACCCCGGTACCCTGATATCGGATTTTAGCTAATAGAAGTATTTCCATTTCTTCATACTTGAAAAGTCGAACCTTTGGTGAGGTACTTTCTGTAGAGGGTTTCACAACAGGTTTGCTGGCAGATCTCGGCTTTGTGCTTCGTTTAATCTTTTTCGAATCGCCAAAGAAGACGTTTGGATCTACTTCAGGGGCTTCTTCCGTCACTAGTCTTGGCCTCTTAACAGATGCCCTTCAGACATGGCATGAGCAACAGATGGGGTCAGTCAACTATGAGTGTTATTACTGGTACAATACCTCACTCGTTCCGTGGATTTCTGATCACTTTGATTGCGCACTTCACTCACTGGTGTTCTCTCTTCTTTCGCTTCCTCAGTTCCTTCGTCATCTGATTCAATAACGGCCCGTCCTTTCCTCCGTTTTGGGGCGTTATTGACATCGTCTCTGCCAAAGTATTTAGAAGTCCTTGGTAAGCTGTGTACAGAAGCATGGTCAGTTGTGGGTTTCGTTAGGGTTAGGATTGAGGGCTCAAACGCCGTCACATACGGAGCAACATCAGCGTCCTCTGGGTTTTCTAAAAGTGGACGAATTTAGTGAGTACATTGAGATCTCATCACCTCTTTGGAACCTCCACATGTCAAATGTTGCTCACCTGTCGAAGGTGCCTTGGTTGACTTTGGTCCCGACTGGAAGTGGCAAATATAACAGTACAGCAGCCATATGAGAAACCCTTGTGACGCAGATGTTTGCAGAGCAGTCCTACATACCTTTACTGCAGCTGTTTTTTTGCTTCCTTCTGAGGCGGTAATCGGCTTGGTATCTTTCCGCTGGAAGAAGTTGCGAATATCCTGGTAATGTAACCCGTTCAAAAGTTAAGCATCTGGCGTACTTTACGGCCATACAGAGACCTGGTGAAGCAAATATACGCAGGTAGAAGTACCACAACGAGCTTACCATGGCGTCGCCCAGATCGCCTTTTGGATGGGTGCAAGATGTCCGTCCATATGTACGAACAAAAATGGTTACATTACATTGCACGTCACACTAACAACTAGGTTTTGCCATACTTTGCCTTAGGAATACGATCTATTGTGCACAATGCAGAACCCAGCCACCATGAATAGTATGAAGATTGAACTACTTGATATGCTATTCAACAGGCTTCTTTGGTGGGATAGGAAATCGCTTGATAACCTTCATTGGGCCATTCCTTTGCCAGAATTCTGTCAAAGTCGCAGCAAGCTTATCTGGTTCATCTTCCTATTGAAGGCGGCAGAGCATTCAAATTGCGCCAGGTTAGGATACATGTGGGGAGGACGTACCTGGATCGCATGCCCTGATTCAGGATGTAGGACCAGCTGATATTTGCCTTCCATGAAGCATAAAATTGAGTTGCATATCTTTTGATGAATTCTTAACTGTACAGTACCTTGCATTTGTCCAATAGTTAGAGGTGTGTCCAGACGGTCAGTGCCTTTCGTCGACGTACAGACGTGAGGATGTACCATATATGGAAACGGTAACCCAAAATGGAACATTACCAGCCAATACCAGCATGCGGGCACATCGCACAGCCAAAAACTTTGAAGACAAGTCCTGAAACCATCCTTCAAATAGCAGAACGTCAGTAAGCAATTGGTCTGTTTTTGATGACAAACCTAGCTACCTTTCCAATACGGCTGAGAGGCAGAGAGATTTGTCTTCCACTCATAATGTGTCGTCTGACCTTGGTCACTGATGACTGGTTTCAATTGTGGGGGAACGGATATTCTAGCGGATTCCAAGTTCTTTATGCTTCCAGACTGTAGGCTACCATGATACTGGGGTGATGAGTTTAGATTCATTAAGAAGGAATTTGATCACTGTACCTCCACTGAATGGCCGCTTGAAGTGAACTTAACCTGCTTGGTCGGTTTCGCAAGTATACTTCCATGTGCGCTAGGGACTCCATAGCCGTTCCTAATGTAACCGTCAGACCATGAGCGATGAGCCATCTTCTCCAATATAGCCGAAGGTCCCCACCTTCGACAACATCAATGATGGCAACACCAAGTAAATTCTTTATACTATTTCGTGTAGCAGCATCAACCACCACGGCTCCGCCCATGCTGCAACATGGTGAGCATCTGCAATACTTCGAGATCACAAATGAAGCTGCACAAACCTGTGACCCACCAACACGACATCAGATGGCAGCTGTTTGTCGTATAGCACATCCATAAGATTCGCCATATCCTGCGATAAGCGCTCAAGGGACAGGTCACTGTCATCTGATGTTCTTGTGTCGCCTTATTTAGAGAAGAAACATAAGACATTGCCCAAACGTACAGTAAAGGGGATCTGCAATCCAAGTAGAATACCATGGCCGCGACAATCGAAACATAAAATTGAGCATCCGCCGATAGTCTGTTTCTTCAAAAGCCTCGCAACCAGAGACCAGGATAGCGCTGTATGCCCGCCACCGTGATGGAAGACGAATAGAGGACCTGTCGCTGATCCGGTCTGGTAGACGCGAAATGTTGCATCTGATGCTGGTACGTGAACGTCTCGCGAGGTTTCAAAAAAATCAGTCCAGGTCGCAGGATGAAAAGTCCCTACTTGAGATCTAGAGATGCTGGTGAGCGTTACAGGTCAGTAATGGGATTTTGCGCGTAATAACGCAACCTGGCAGCATCGTTCTCGACCTCAAGAGTCGATGCAGCTCCTCCCGTGGGACGGGATGCGGGTGCTATCGGGGGCTTTTTGAAGATTTCCTTTTGAAGGGACATGCCTTTGGAGATCAGCAGACAGTCTCCAACATCGGTCAGTGAACACGTGTCATCCGTCGCATCTTCTGAGTCGATACAAGTAAATACTCTAGTGCCTTTACAGCGGCGGAACGATATTGTTTGACTCTTTTTCTGGGATGGCTATTTATTGTGGCATATACGACGGTTTAGACTGAACCGTCAGCATGTCCTCTTTCCCAACAGATATTGCTTAATCAGCTCATATATTGAATTGTTATTTTAATCATGATATAATGCTATGTGAATACCATGTTGGATGTTGGTATACAGCTTTTGACTGTCATCACAGAAGGAACTCATGATCCAGATCATGTGAAGGAGGTGATGCTGCATAGACATTGTGAATTCATAGTTTATATTGAAATATCGATTTATGCTTTCCAAGTTGAATCCGAGGTTCTCGCCAATTTCCCAGCGGTAGCAAGTCAGGAACTTACACAGGTCAAGATTAGTACATAAATTGCTAACCAGTTACTAACTAAAGCTAGCAAGTGTGAATTTACAATTGGGCCTAGTAGCTGTAAGCCCCTAATGAATGGTTTCAAGCCATACAGCATGCCATTGTCCTTCAGATGTATCAGCAAATAAAGTTTACCAATATTCACCAGATGATTTGGTGCAAGCAAATGGTTGAATGTGCAATATACATACGCAAAAAACGTTCATATGCGGGCGACTACATAACGTGGTTGACTAAACCTTCAACAAAGGATGATACAGATGGTATACATTTACGATCGGGTAACAAGCAATGCATTAAGAGAGAGGTAAAGAGTTATCTATTCTCATTCCACAGATGATTCTATCAACACCTACGATCTCCAATGCTCATCATGACAGTGAGCGCTGTGTAATAATGCGGTGCTTTCCACGAACCCAATTTTTCGGCAATGGCAGAATGCTATCGTCCATTTTCACTCCTAACGGGTCCGAGATAGAAAGAAAACCATCTGACATGACACTTGCAATCTTTCACCTCCTGCTGAGCTATAACCCGCCACATAAATGGTCATCTTGAAGCCGACGTCAGAACTGAAAGATCTAATGTCCATTATCAGGTTTGTTTTGGTCGTAAGCACCATCAACAAGTTCTTCGAAGCCAGACGCGGATTGTCCATGTCGCTCTTCTTCGAATGAAAGTGGGGTATCAAAAGAACGCAATATCGTGAGATTAATGGGATATCATACAAGTGGGAACCACTAGATAAGACTATTAGCTTGTATGCATGTCATCAAGAATATATACATTATCTAGGTTAGTAACTATTTAAAATCCCTTTCGTCGCGGTTTCTTCTTCTTTGCGCTAGCAGGGCTTGATCCGAACGTTTGTCCTACTGGCTGACTTGAGGGTGCCAATCCAGTGGTACCTTGTGAGAGCAACGACCACCCAGTATGTACCTGTGGTTGAGACCAAGTTTGGCTAGGTATGCTGCTGGCCCACCAATCCGCGTCATCAGCTCCGCCACTGTAGCTACTCATTTGACTGCTGCTGAAGACGCTCGGTACAGATGTTTCCCCTGCTCCAAGGCTACGGCCATGTCTCCGCTCAGCTAGCCTTTCGAGAGCGCCGGCTTTGTCTCTCCGCTTTACACCAGCCTCTTGTGAATAGTCTACGGTAGATTCCAGCCCATAATATTTATCGGGATCTGTCCATCTCTTTCGCAGTTCCATGGCAGCTGCAGATAAACGAGCAGGGTGATCGGAGTACGGGGTGTAAAGGACACCGGCCTTGACGTGATCGCTAGACCGAAACTTATCCTCCGTATCAGACAATTCTGAATTGACTATGCCTGGCTCATGTACGCCTTCCATACTATGGTCTGTTGCTCCAGGCTTTCCATGAGGTTGCAATATCAACCGGCTTGCAAGATACGCGTCCCTCACTAATAACTCTCGGGCAATCTCGGTTCCATCAGCAACTGTGGTACTCGCAGTTGACGTATTGTTGTCCTCGCGCATATCAATAGGAAATAATTGTTCCATTTGTTTTCGTAAAACATCATGATCGCCTTCTCCCTGGTCAAGCAAAAGCTCCGCGTAGGAAATTCTTGATATCGCGGGTTCATCGTTCCCCAATGGTGGATTATTCGATTCTTCGCGCTTTAATCGATCAAAAGCGTAAAGATCAGGCAGGTTTGGTTTGTCGTCTTCTCCGTACGTAACAGCTTCTCCTTCAGTTGTAACCAACTCCCATCTGAAGCGCCATCGTTTAGCACTTTGGCACCTCTCTCGCTTAAATCACCTGATACTTACAACGTGGCTTGTCGAGTCTCCTTGCGAGATCTCATAGCCCACTGCCACGGTTCCTTGATTGCGCACAAACGGTCGATATCTATATCCGTAGTCGCCTTACTCAATAAGCACAACTCAATAGCTGAGACCGCAGAAACATTCAAATACCGAAACATCATCAGAATTGCGGATCTCAAAAGCCACAAAGAACGATTTACATACCTTTGGTCAACATCGTCCAGTCCACCCTTTCGTGATCCTTGTAGAGACCGGGCAAATTCTGTCGACGCACTTCCGACTGTGTTAATTCGGTGCCATCAGACTGACACATCGCAGAGTCGGTGTCAGGATTACTATTTTCCTCCAAATTCAACTGAAAAGGGGGAGACCTGCTCTCTGCTTCGGTGGTAGTGGAGGCATGCCCGTACCGTTCAAAAGAAACTCTACCGTCGTCTTCAATCTTCAAGACATCAATATGAGCGCGCTGATCCGGTGTGAATAACGTGAGGCCACGTAGCGGTGGCCATCCGGGGATTTCTTCATTCTCTATAAGTGCCTGCTGATGACCCCATGTACCGTAAGCGACTTTGGAGTACTTGTCCTGGGACGATTCATATCCATGCGGACGGAACCGGTTTAGTAACGTCGGCCGTGCAAATGAGGAAGGTGGTAGCGTAATCGATGGTGAGAAATGCTCGTAAAAGGACGACTTGATAGTCTGGCTCGTGTGCAAGGATCTATGGTTAAAAGCCATAATTTCCCCACGAAGACGAGTCCAGGTCACGAACGTCCAATCATGCTGATGATATCTGCGGTCTGCTGGGAGGAACTCAATCCCGATAGGAGGATCCCGATTATTTTGAAATTTCCATTGCAATAACGGACGACGTGGAAAGCGGATATCCAACAACACAGTTCTTTCAGAAGTGCACAGCACTGACTGGAAAGGCTCATCATGCTCACGATTAAATGCCCATATCCGTTCGTTACTGTCCACCTTAAATATGGGTGTCGGCATAATTCCGCGCGACCGAAAGTCAATTGTCTCTAAACGATTCGCGTGAGCTACCATGAGTGTACGGGGATGGGCACCAAACTCGCAGCTCTTCCATCGCAGGGGATACGACGAGGCATTATCGTCATATGTTGCAAGGAGCGTTGATCTAGATGAGATTTTAATAATTGAACAACCGATACTGCCTATAGCCAACCAATACCTGCTACTTGTTGGCTGATAGCCATCCCACAAATATAACTCTCCGCCATCGAAAACTATGGCTGCCTCATTTGCAAGAACAGGGCTGAATGTCATATGTAGCGGCCGTTGGTTGAATGTGACGACATCAATGAGATGAGGCATCGGAAAGTCATCATGCGGTGGCCAGTCCGCTAGCCCCGCATTTGAGGTTTCATCGACAGATAACTCCGACGCCGCACTGGTCGCCACGATCGCGACTGAACCATGATCGCGAACAGCAAGCAGTCCTGCACATGAATCATCAGCATTCAACGTTTGATGCTCTTTTAATAAATAATCCATATATGCATATACCTTACTTGATGTAGAAAGAGAAGGAGCGGTCTTGGAAGATGTCAGTTGCAAGATGGGATTTGCAAATGCTAGCTTGGCCCGGTCCACTGGTGTCACTACATCATCCGATCCTCCTCCATTCAATTGTGCGAAACGAACTTCATTCAGCACGTTTCCGCCAGGATACGCCAATACGGCATGATCCGAATACGGTGTATACACATTCAGAATGTTTCCACCAAACGGATCGTACACATACTCCTCCCGTTCCGTTTTTAGACTTTCCATAACCAGGCTTCGCATTAAATCACGAGGAATAAAAGCATCGTATGCGTTTGCTTCATGATACCGGACCATTCTCTCTACTTCCCGCTCTATTCGTCCTCTTGGGATCGGCTTCTCCCATGCGCGGCTTGGAGGTGTCACCTCTCCTGTGCGAGATGCCTTCAAAGTTGGACACCACCCGTCGTTCAATTGGAAGTTGACCTGTAGACCTGTTGTTTCTGTATCGACGAAGTACGCCCCGTTCAATGTACCGGTCGTCTGACACTTGCCAGTGTCTGGAAAGAGCCATGTTGGAAACTGGCTAGTGACGTCTCCTGCCCTCTCCCCCTCTTCTCTTCCAAATGTCAAGTTCGACTCTTGATGAGTTATCGTATCCTCCTCATCCCACTCCATTGCCCCCTACCTGAAATACAAATCAATCTCATTGATCGTCAGTAGGATCGGATAGCTCCGATCTTGCTCACACTGTCATCTTCTGTCAAGCACGTGATACACTCCACATATGGGTGAATGACAGATAATATTTAGTAAATTCTCCACGAACAAATTGGCCAAATTCCAAATAAGGTTAGATGAGGCTTTCTGGGGGATATCTTCAGCCATATCTCCCACTTTACAATTTGAGCCATATCGACATCAACACTAATGGCTCAGTCAGCGAGCTATAAACCGCCACAGCAAATGGTCATTCTGGAGCAGACGTCGGAACTGAAGGCTCTGATGTCCATTATCAGGTCCGTTGGGTTGTAATCAGCATTAGTAGGTTGTATACTAAACGAGTGAATCCATCAGGAGCAAAGATACGCAGCGAAGTGATTTCATTTTCTACAGTACGTTCGAATATGGGAACACTCATATAGGAATGGGTTTAACATTCCTTTCTATACGCAGGTGACAGAATTATCAGGCTATTGGTGGAGGAGGCTCTGAACCACCTCCCTTTCGTGGAGAAGACCGTGACAACACCAATGGGGGCGCCGTATAAGGGTATGTTGAGTCTACTTATGATGTACTAGCACATTTATTGCCTATCCTAATATATCGTACGCGTCTGTGCTGCAGGTCTGGCCTTCAAGGGATCCATTTGCGGCGTATCAATAATGAGGTAATGGAAGTAGAGTTTTGCTACTATTGCTTGCAACTTGCTTATAAGATTGTCAGAATAGAGCTGGGGAAGCGATGGAGCAAGGATTAAGAGACTGTTGTCGGAGTGTGCGCATTGGCAAAATTTTGATCCAGCGAGACGAAGAAACTGCCAAACCTCAATTGTACTACGCCAAGCTACCCCCAGATATATCGGAGCGCTTCTGTCTTCTACTCGATCCGATGCTCGGTAGGCTTTCTTGTTTGCGTAAATGCCCATTTACCTATTGTAACTGAATTTATGTCGGCAATGGGAAGCCACCGGCGGCTCTGCAAATAAAGCTATAGAAGTCCTTCTGTCGCATGGCGTCTCGGAGGAGCAGGTGATCTTTGTAAACCTGATTTGCTCTCCGGAGGGCATTGAAAAGGTGCTGCATGTATCCGCGATCAGATCGTAACCGCAGAGTTGATGATGGACTGGATGAGAAA